TTATTATCTAACTTATTATAGCATTCTTTTGAGGAAGGATAAAGAATGGTGTTTACACCAGATTCATGTCTCCCAGCTCTGTTATGATACAGAACTAGCACACTGGACATATACGTAAGCCTAGGAAACGTTCAATATTCTAGATCAGGGGTGGGGAACATGTGGCCCGAGGGCCATAAAAGGCCTTGGAAATCATTTGGTCTGGCCCTGCCAAGGCATTAAGTTTGAGTTAAGTCAATGTTTGACCAATTACAGCAGGATAACTTTTAAGTTGATAATTTTGTATGGTCTGCAATTGATGTTACAAATATCCAAATGGCCCTTGGTGGAAGAAAGGTCCCTGATCGCTGCTCAGTGATCTAAACCATATGCAAACCAACGAACAAATATGACTGTGCAACTTGCAGCCATATTCACATTCCATGGAAACATTCCATCAAAACCTTTTCAAAAAATACCATCATTGGAGGCAAGCATTTGATCAACAAATTTTAACGCTCGTTATATTGTACATGGGCTTGAATTAACTGTAAGGTGCTTAAATATTGTTTAGACACACTCAGGAAAACTTGAGGTGAGACTCATGCTGATAGAAATGTCCAATATCGATGGTGGAAGTTATGCAAAAAATATGACACCCTGGGAGCCAACAGAAAATTAAGAGGAAAAGAACAGCTGATATCCAACGTTCTAATTCTGTTTTGAGCAGGTGTCAGAGTATTAATCACCTTTACATGTTGGAGGGCTAGGGGACCATCCAAAGTGGTAGCACTGAAGAGAGTCTGGTCCAACGAGAGTGAGGAGTCTATTTCTGCAGGAGAATGCCAACACGTCTCCAATGACATATTTCTCTTTCCGGGGCTGAGCAATTAAGTTCTCCTCTATATCGGGAACGATGCATTCTCTTTCTATAAAAAGGGTAAATAATTCAATGAGAACAGATGATTAACCAGTGGCAAGTAAACTTTATACGTCGTGCAAAAATAAGTGGCTGGGTGTTGCATATTCAGAGAGGCATCAAATAAATGTTCTCCCTGGAAGTGCATTATCTATTATGTCTGACACATCCCTCACATTCAGTTGGGACTCTCTGAATAACAATAGATGTGTCCTAAACACTTATTTGTAATATCAACTCTCTTCTAGTGGATCTGATTTTATTATTGACACTAGAGGCCTGGTGCACGAAATTAGTGTACTGAGGGAGAGGGGGCAAGGTCCCTCAGCCCGGCCTGCACCCTCTTGCAGTCCAGGACCCCTTGCTCCTTGCTGCCCAGGTCGCTTTTCCTTAGCACTGCCACTATGAGCCCAGCTTCTGGCTGAGCTGCACCCCCCCACTGCTGGGGCACATTGACCACCAGGGGGCAGCTCCTGTGTTGAGCGTCTGACCCCTGGAGGTCAGTGCACATCATAGCGACTGGTCCTTCTGGTCATTCCGCCCTAATGGTCACTTAGGCTTTTATTACATAGATTAGTAAAACTAAAGGCTACATTTTTGGTATTATCAAAACAATACAATTCTCTCACATTAAAAAAATTAACGCTACAACTTTAAATTGCGCGCTTAAATAAAAATTGGTATTTTAACTTAATATACTTGGGGAACCAGGACACTCAAAGAGAGGCATTTCTCATATATTTCAGTAAAGGAACATCAAAATGGGCTTAGTTAACAAATTAAAGCAACTCCTACAAATGTGTTCCTAAGGTGATCTGTTACTATAAAATTTTTAATAGAAAGCCATATTGGCCATATGGGGTTCTATTGTCTCTGTCACGACCACTCTCTTTCCTTCCTGTTTCCCTGTCATGCCTGGTGGGTGGCTTGGCAAGGCCATGAGACTCTCATATTCCTGATTTTGCATTCTTTTTCAAAGAAGGCCCCTCAAAGGTGTGAAACCTCTGGCTTCAGACAACCCGTGACTGCCTCTAATCCCAGAAAAGAAATGCATGGTGATCATAGAAAACCCTCCCCTTTTAGGTAGAAGGAAATCCCAGCTCTCTCATGCCTGTACTTCCAACATCATCTTCTCTCTCTTTCCCGCTGTCAATCCAGACCCCAGGCCGCATGATCTTTGAATATTGTTTAAAGAGGTCAACTTCTTTGCGCTCCCTGTTGCATGGTCCTGAATGGTTTTCTGTGCATAGATGCCTTCCTATGTTTAACGTAGCCCTCGATCCCCCCCTCGTTTGTTCCTTTGAACACAGTAGGCCTCCTTTTATTCTCTCTACTCTGCTCCCCATGCCTCTTCTGTCCTGTCTGACATCTGCATGTCGGAATGCTTCAGGGCTCAGTCTTGAGTTCTTTTCTCATTCTGTATTCTTTCCCCATGAGACGTCACTTACATGGTGATCATCTCACATGTGGAGCTGGCTAGCCCTCAACGTTCAACTCTACGGTTTAGAATCCAATTCTGATTGTCCATGGGCAGCTGAACCCTCCCGTGCCCCAGTCAAAGTTGAGATGTTCCTCTCAAAGACCTCTTTCTACTGCCCGCACCACCTCACCAAAAGTCACCTCCATTGACCTGCTTCCTTATGCAAAAAAAAACCTATACAATAAAAGGCTAAGATGCAAATTGTGCCCTCTACCAAGAGTTCAACCAGGGGGTAGGACCGCTGGCCAACCGCCCGTGGCCCCTCCCCCTGGCTGGCCTGATTGGCCGGGATGGAAGCCGAGAGACTGGGCCTCACCCATGCACGAATTCGTGTACCGGGCCTCTAGTTTAAAATAAACATGTGAGTCCCTTGACGATTACTCCGACGCCCAACATTCAGTAATGTTACCTGTGTTTGCTACCACCAAAATGCATCCCAGACCTGTCCTCTGTTCCGCATCGCTTCAGCCATCACTCTGGCCCAAGCTCCACCTAAAATTCTCCCCCTTCCTCAGTAGAATCCCTGATAGTTCCCCAAAATTATTTTGTTTTCAAGTCAATCCATTCAAATATTACAGACAGCTCTGGCCAGTTGGCTCAGTGGTAGGAACACTGGCCTACAGAACAAGGGTCCCTGTTTCAATTCCCGGTCAAGAGCACATAATTTTTTTGTGGGTTGGATCCCATGCCCAAGTTGGGGCATGTGTAGGAGGCAACCAGTCCATATGTCTCTCTCACATCGATGTTTGCCTCTTCTCCTTCCCTTCCACGCACTCTCTAAAGATCAATGGAAAAAATATGCTCCGGTGAAGATTAAAAAAAAAATAAAAGACAAATGAAAAGGGGAAAGTCCTACCAAAGAAGGAAGCTAAATATTCAGGTCAGTTTCAACTCACCTTGTCCATGAGCCCAGGAGACCCACAGGGTGAGGATGACCGTGACTGGTAACAGCATGGTGGGCTCCCCGGGTGTGTGTTAGTGCAAATCTTCCAGTGCTGCTGTTTGGGGCTTAAATCTGCATTATGAGCCCTTACCAAGTGTGGCTCTGAATTTAAGTGACAGTACCGGGAAGCTAGTTGACTGAGGTCACTCAGTAGATATCAAATTTCAGAGAGTTTTGTTAAGGCCCTCAATTCCCATGAATGATTTCAATTCCCTAATTTGTCCTTGTCCAACTTTCCTTATAAAGATAAAAATTGGCTCCAAGATCCTCATTTTTAAATTAATCACTTAATAAAAATGGGTGAGGTTCTTTCTCAACCAGGGGATTCACGTGGGAATAGCTCTGGCTGCGTGTCCCTGTGACTTGTGACCTCTTTGCTCTGACCCAACTGCAGTCCTAGGGGTCTATGGACACCACCCAGTGTGTCCACACAGTGCAGGGTCCTGTCTGTAGGACAGCACTGATTTTTTTGTAAACTCACAACAGACCACACCACCAAGACCAAGAATTCCACACATTCTTGGCCTTCAATGTTTTTCATATGGTTTGTTTTTAGAGAGAATCAGAGGCAAAGGGAGAGAGAGAGAGAGAAACATCCACGATGAGAGAGAAACATCTATCTGCTGCCTCCTGCACGCCCCCTACTGGCGAATGAGCCCATTACCAGGCCATGTGCCCTGACTTTTAATGAACTGGTCCTCTTGGTGCCTGGTATGATGTCCAACCAGCTGAGAGACACTGGCTGGGCTGAGGCTCCTTTCCTTTGGGGGGAAAA